GTGGTTGGACACTGACTTATGAACCAGGAGGTCATGGTTCAATTCCTGATCAGGGCACATGCCCAGGTTGTGGGGCTCAGTTCCCAGTGTGGGGCATGCGGAAGGCAATTGGCCAATAATTCTCTCTCATCACTGATGTTTCTCTCTCTCTCCCTCCTTCTCCCTTCCTCTCTGAAGTATTGTAGTTTTGTTTTTTAAAAAGTGAGTTCTTGCTCTTGAAGAGTGAGTCCGGCTTCTATTCTGGTCAAGGGTACATGCCCAGGCTGTGGGCTCCATCCCCAGAAAAAAAGAGGGCTGGGACCGGTTTGGCTCAGTGGATAGTGTCGGCCTGCAGACTCAAGGGTCCCGGGTTCGATTCCAGTCAAGGGCATATGCCTTGGTTGTGGGCATATTCCCATTGGGAAGTGTGCAGGAGGCAGCTGATCAATGTTTCTCTCTCATCAATGTTTCTGACTCTCTATTCCCCTCCCTTCCTCTCTGTAAAAAATTTTAAAAATATATATTAAAAATAAAAAGAGGGTACTCAAAACTCATTCATTCCTAATTGTTTGCTAACATTTTACAAGCATATGCTCTGGAGGGGAATTAACTGCACCTGGACTGTGTGCATCAACTTCCCAAGTTCGTGTCGGGTGACTTCACGTGGGAACTGCCATATGCTCCCCGGCAGGGCTGCCCCCAGCCCGGAGAGAGGCGCTGAACACTGACCAGCACACCACTGCTTCCCAATCCCGCTTCCGCCTCCCCTCGGTCAAGGCCGCTCAGTCGCTCAGTAAATCAAACACCTGACCCTCTCCATGCCCACATGCTGTGCCCAGGAGCCTCCTCCCGGGAAGGGGCGCCAGGGCCATTGTGGGGGGCGGTGGTTGGAGGAGAAAAGAAAGCCTTAACCACAGATCCAATCGCCCCCTAACCCTATCGAGAGGAAAGGCGTGCAGCTTACTGAGATCTGCCTGGACTTAATGGAGAGGAGCGCAGGCAGAGGCCATTTGTCTGGACTGGCGAGCGTGCACTCTGTTTTCTTCCTGGAAGGGAAAGCGCAGTTACAATGGGGCCGTCTCCCGCTGGGGGCACCCAGCTGCCGCTGCCCCTGCTGCACCCTGGGGACTACGAAGCCTGCTGGGCCATTCCCCCAGGGTGCTAGTGCACGGTGATCTTTCCTCCCGCCCGGCCACTGTCCTATTTACTATAACTGCTTGTGTTCTTCAAACTGGGGTGTCCAAGATGGCCCTTAGTGTGGGAAAAAGGAAACTTGTTTGTTTTTATTTTAAAAAATATAACAATTGCCCTAGCTCAGTGGTTGGCAAACTCATTAGTCCACAGAGCCAAATATCAACAGTACAACTATTGACATTTCTTTTGAGAGCCAAATTTTTATTTTATTTATTTAAAAATATTTTATTGAGCCGGGACCGGTTTGGCTCAATGGATAGAGCGTCGGCTTGGGGACTGAAGGGCCCCCGGTTCGATTCCGGTCAAGGGCATGTACCTCAGTTGCGGGCATATCCCCAGTAGGGGGTGTGCAAGAGGCAGCTGATCCCCAGTAGGGGGTGTGCAAGAGGCAGCTGATCGATGACTCTCTCTCATTGATGTTTCCAACTCTCTATCTCTCTCCCTTCCACTCTGTAAAAAATCAATAAAATATATTTAAAAAATATATATTTTATTGATTTTTTACAGAGAGGAAGGGAGAGGGATAGAGACTCAGAAACATTGATGAAAGAGAAACATCGATCAGCTGCCTCCTGCACGCCCCCTACTGGGGATGTGCCTGTAACCAAGGTACATGCCCTTGGCCGGAATCGAATCTGAGACCCTTGAGTCTGCAGGCCAACGTTCTATCCACTGAGCCAAACCGATTAAGGTAAGAGCTAAATTCTTAAAACTTCTTCTAACGTCACTTCTTCAAAAGAGACTCACCCAGGCCTATTTTGTGGAAGAGCCACATGTGGCTTTGGAGCCGTGGTTTGCCAGCCACAGTCCTAACTGGTTTTGAACAGAGTGTTGACCTATGGAATGAAGGCTCCTAGGTTTGATTCTGGTCAAGGGCACATGGCTGGGTTATGGTCCCCAGTGGGGGGCATGCAGAAGGCAGCTGATCAATGATCCTCTGTCATCATTGATGTTTCTATCTCTCCCTCCCTCTCTGCAATCAATAAAACTATATTTTAAGGTAATGAGAGAAAAAAATACAGCTATTGCCCTAGCTGCTTTGGCTAGTGGATAGATTGTTGGCCTGAGATTAGAGTTTGAAGTTTGATTCTGATCAAGGGCACATACTTTGGTTGCAGGCTCCTTTCTGGCTCTGTCCCTGGTCAGGGCTCATGTAGGAGACAACCAATCAATGTGTTTCTCTCACATTGATGTTCCTGTCTCTTTTTCTTCCACTCTCCATAAAAAAAACCAACACAAAACAATGAGAAAATATCTTCAGACTAGAGGCCGGGTGCATGAAAATTCATGCACTGGGGGGTGGGGAGTCCCTCAACCCAACCTGCCCCCTTTCAGTCCAGGAGACCTGGAGATCAGGGGAAGGCAATACCCCCATCACACCTCTGCTGCTGCCACTGCAGGCAGCGTAAGCCTTGGCTGGGCCTGGTTACCTGAGCCTCAGGTGGCCCTGGGCTGCTGGGCAGCCGCCATCCAAGGCTTGCCTGTGCCCTGGGCCAGCCCTGGGTGGCTGGAGTGCTGAGGAAGCTTGGCACGGCCATCTCTGAGGGCATGGCAGTCAATTAGCATGTTCCCTTCTTATTGGCTGTGGGCACTGACAGCTTTATGAGGGAATGATGGTCAATTAGCATACTTTTATTAGACAGGATGGGATTAACAAAAATACAACTATAAGCAAGCAGTTAAACTTTGCCGATGTTTAATATAGGAAATAATATCGATAGATATATTATAAACTCTGGAAATGCAAGCTCAGAAACAAAAATTGTTCTATCAATTGTGTGACTCTGGTCAGTGATCTCCTCGGAGATTGAGAAACATAGTTTCATTTTTGTAACCCCAAAGGCCATATCAGAATCCGGTAATAAGTGTAGGTAAATACAAAGGACCCCTTATATTCCTGCCTTACTTTCCAGGGACCCAAAGCCTCTCCCTCTCCTCCCTTTGGGTGGAGTTAGGTGTGGATCACAGTCACGACTCACAGACGCACAAAGGGCCTGTACTGTAGCGGGTGGGGCTTTTGGAGAAGCAACTGGGGCTGCTGGGCTCTCCCTCTTCTGTGGCTTCTGCTCGGATGGGACACTAGTCCTCAGGAGCTCCAGGTGGTCAAAGGAATGACTCAGGATCAGGGCTTGGGAAAGTGGACCCTGACTCTCCCGGATAAGCCGTGGCACTCCTTGGCCAGGCACGGCCCAGTGAGGCGTGGCTGGGGGAAGCTGGCGTGGGGGCAGGGGCGCTGTCAGGCCGGCATCTGAACATCACCCAATCTGGCCTCTTGGTCAACAGCTGCGGACACCTGTGACCCTGAGGGACGGGGACAGATGACATGTATGTGTATTCTAAGCTCTAACCCAGAACGCCACACTGAGCAGGTTCCGTGTTCCTGTCCTCTTCCGCCACCAGCGTCAGAGGAACCGCCGTGGGTGTGTGTGTAGCAGCTTGGCTTGTTTCCTGGAACCTGCTCCTTTTACCCAGCCTTCCCCTTAGGTTATCCATAAGAATGGCACAGTTTATTTTTTGTTCCACAATAAACTTTATTTTATTTAGGAAAGCACACACAGTCCTGGGTGTTTCAGAGCACAGTGAGTGGAAAGACAGGAAAGACACTGGGCTGCAGCTGGCCGGCTTCTGCCTCTGGACCGGACCTCACTGACCGACAGGGCTGCTTTGGCACCGGGAGTGCAGGGCCAGGTCTGCGGCTGCCTCTGCCGTTTCAGCAGGCGTTTTATGGACTAACGTTTTATGCCGGTTTCATCTCTTTTGTTCACTCATTTTATAAATATGACGGGATTGTGCTGGGGACACAGAGGGGAACAAGAAACACTCCCTGCCCACGGGGCTCACAATCTAACAGGGAGGCACAGAGTGAACAGTCAGCAGAACACAGAGCGGCCAGTCTTCCGTGCACGCTCACTGTGGTGCGGGCCTGCGGGAGGCCACTGGCACGGCTGAGGTGGCCCAACATTGAGCGAACAGAAAACTGAGGAGGTGTGTCTGGCGGGCAACACAGAGAGGCCCCCCTGGCCCAAGTCGGCCCCTTCTGTCAACCTCTTGTTCAAGTCCCTCGTCTACCTGCCCCATCTCCTCCTGTGAAATCCATTATCTCGTGGCCTGTTCTAGTCACAAGTCACTGTGCACAGGTGCTAACTTCCACCAGGCTGCTGTCTCCGAGAACGAAGACTTTCCACGCGGCACCATGGCTATGCAGCGGGCGGAGGCTGCCCGGGAAACCAGGGCTGGGAGGCAGCAGGCTCTCAGGGGAGCGGGCACTTCTCCAGCACTTGGCTGGGGTGAGCAGGAAGAGGTGGAAGGCTGCAGGAGGTGAAAAGGGTCTGGGCGCTGGCTGGCGTGGCTCAGTTGGTTGAGCGTTGTCATGTGCACTGAAAGGTTTCAGATTTGATCCCTAGTCAGGGCACATACCCGGGGTTGAGGGTTTGATCCCAGTTGAGGTACGGGCAGGAGGGAACAGATCGATGCTTCTCACATCAATGTGTGGCATTTTTTCCTTCCTTTCTCTCTTTCTCTCCCTTCCTCTCACTAAAATCAATAAAAATATATTAAAAAAAAAAAAAAAAAAAAAGGGTCCGGGGTAAACAAAAGTCATACAGAGAAAGCATTACCTACTAGGCTGCTGCTAAGACTAGAAACTCAGAATACTTCTGCTTATAAATGCAAAAACTCAAACCACAAACAGTTCTCTTGACAGCACAACTGTCTGAAGGAAACACACAATCAAACAAGTATTTCATTGCAAACAAAAGCTGGACCGAACCGCGCCCCCCGCCCAGTGAACACGCTGGGAGCCTGCGGCCCTGCAGCCGGCCGGGGGCTCAGTCGAACGTGATCCGGAAGCTGCGCTCCTGCTCCTTGCGCCGCCCCTCGCACACCTTGGTCACCTCCTCCACCTTCCTCTGCAGCAGGGCCGAGTTCTGGTCGATCCACTGCAGGGAGTCCATGTGCGCGTTGAGGATCTTGCAGATCTGCTGCAGCGGGTCGCTGGTGTCGGCGGGGCCCCCGGACGTGTTGAGGTGCTCGATGATGTCCTTGAGGTCCTGAGCCATGCGCTTCAGCTGGGCGTCGATGTTCTCGGCCAGCTTGTAGGTCTTCTCGCGCTCCTCGTCGGCGTGCTGCAGGTAGACGGTCCCGCTCTGCTCCTTGACGGACTCCTCCAGGGGGCTCAGCAGGTCCTCCAGCTCCTTCTGCTGAGACAGGATGAAGTCGAGCTCTTGGTCCAGCCTCTTCTGGTCCAGCTTCACCTTCTCCACCTCGCGGTGGAGGGCGGTGATCTTCTCCCCGTTCTCGATCAGCGTGCGGTCCCAGGCGTTGACCTGCGTGGCCTGCTGCAGGAAGTGCCGCTCCTGGTCCTCCAGCTCCAGGCTCCACTTGTTGATCAGGCTCTCCAGCTGGGCATAGGTCATCACAGGGCTGGTTGACACCCCGGTGGCTGCACTGGGGCCAGACGGAGCGGTTATGGCAGTGGGCGCACTGCTGGGGATCCCGGCTGGTGCCAGGGGTTTGAGATTCAGGGAGAAGCTGCTGGTGCTGGTGGTGGTGGTGGCGGTGGACGTCGCTGTGGGTGCGGTAGAAGCTGCTCCAGGAACCTTTAGGCTGAAGCCCAGCATTCCAGACCCAGAAGTCCCGGCTGTGGTTGCTGGGGCACCAAGGGACAGCCCGGTGGCAGCAGACGAGGCGGGAGCAGTAGCCAGCGAAGCGAAGAGTGTGGGTCCAGCACTGGTGGTGGCAGCAGCAGGTGCGGGAGCAGCTGGCTGTGTGGTTCCTGCTCCGGTGGCTGCTGGTGTGGCTGGAGTGAAGGCCAACCCAGCGAGTGTGGTGGGCTGCGCCGAACTCCCCATGGAGCCGATGCTGAAACTGGAGGTCCCCCCCGTCTGGGACGCGCTTCCACCTGTGAAGGAGAAGCCCCCGGGTGTGGTGGACGGAGCGGAAGAGGCGGCGGTGGAGCCGAACACAAAGCCGGTGGGCGCTGTGGCCTGGCTGGAGGTGACGGCGCTGGAGATGGCGTTGGTGAGGGTGCTGCCGCCGAGGCTGAAGCCAGCGGGTTGAGCGGCGGCTGGGGTGGCAGCCGCATTGCCCAAGCTCAGCTTTGGGGTGCTGATCCCCAAGGAAAAGCCAGTGCCTCCGGTGGCAGGCGTCGTGGTTCCAAAACTGAATCCTGAGGTCTGCGTTGCTGGCGTTTGGGTAGAGAGAGAGAACAGGCTGGTAGAAGGGGTGCTCGCAGCGGGCTGGGAGGGAGCCCCAAAAGTAAACCCGCCAGTGCTAGACGTAGAGAAAGAAAACCCAGTGGCCGGGGTGGTGGTGGCCGTCTTTGCGGTGCCAAACGTGAACCCGCCTGAGGGGGCCCCAGTGCCTCCGAAATTAAACCCGCTCATGGCTCCCGGCTCCGGCGGCGGCGGCTACTCCAGCTCCCAGCAAACCGTCTGCGTCGTCCGCACCCTTGGGAAGATCTTTAAAGCAGAGGAAGCGACATGATCAGATGGCAGCTTAGGAAAGGCAACCTCACCGGCATGGGCGCGGCTCGGAGAGCGGCGGGACTGACCGTCCTAAGGAGGCCCCTCTCCTCTTCCTAACCGGACCCAAGGCAGCCAGGAAAAGCAGGCGGAGGGCCGGCGCTGGGAGAGAGGTGCTCGGACCCGCGTGTACTCAGCACGAGCGGGAGCCCCACGGCCAGGGGGAGGAGTCCAAGAGCAGGCACCCGACCTGACCTCAGTGCCCGAGGAGGCAGCCGGATTGCGGAGCTTCTCAGGAGCGGGACCAGAAGCACACCAACACCTTTAGGCCCTGCTCCCAGGGTTCCCTGCTGCCGGCTGGAAGTGGGTAGAGCGTGCCTCCTTGTGCCTTGGCCTTCTGGACCTCAAGAAACAGGCCTGGAAAGCTGAGCTCTACGGTAGGGCTCCATCCTCGCCATTTAGGAGGACAGAGCATGTACCTGTTAAGTAAGGGGTGGGCATGAAACCCACGTGATCAGAAGGCTGGAAGGCAGAGTCCTTCAGCTGATCAATGATTCTATCTCATCATGGATGTTTCTATCTCTCCCTCTTCCTTCCTCTATGAAACAAAAAATAAATAAATAGAAAGGAAGAAAGGAAGAAAGGAAGAAAGAGAAAGAAACTAATGCAGTTGGGAAGCAGAAAGTGTCTGACAAGTGTGGCGGGGCCTTGTGACTCCTCAGCGCTCCAATCTCAAACAAGGGGCAGCAAAGCTCTGAGGCTCAGTTCCCGCAGCAGGAAAGGGGGGTAGCAGCTACGGACTGAGTGTGGCAGATGGCTGGGCACTAGTTAGGGCGCTCACTGCCACTGCTGCCAGGCACAGGCCCATGCCCACATTGCCACTCCGGGGAGCGTCGGGAGCCGGTGAGGAAGGAGGACTGTCAGTAAGGGGTTACTCGGCAGCAGGGACTGTGAACACCCAGCGTGAAGAAATTCTCATGAAGACGACGTGGGCTGTGGCTGACCTCAAGTTTAATATGAATTCACGGTCCAGCTGCCGCTGCTCAGTGGGTCCTGGCTCATGACGAGAGTACCCGTTCCAACGCAGAGACGGGATTTCCCAGCCCGACAGCTGCGTGCCCAGCCCTGTGCTACCGACATCCTCAGCCGGACCCTCAGCTAACTTCCCGATCAGCCTGCCAGGAGGCTGAGATGATGGCCACAGGGCACAGATGGGGGAAGCAGGCTCAGATTAAAGTAATTTGTCAATCCTCACCCCACTGGAGCTGCCCCTCCCCAACTTCCGCCCTCTGCCTTCCTCCAAGAACACTATTTTTCGCCAGGTCTCTCCTCTTTACTCTCCAGAGGCCACAGCAAACGCCCGAGGCCCAAGCACGCGGGCACCACCTTCCGCATGAGCGAGCACACCTGTCGCTGCAGGGCACCTCGGCCATTTGCTAGCAGCCACTCACATGTCTCAGTTCCGGAGAACTTTAGCTATTAATAAACTACAGCTAAAATTCTCCTGGAAGAGCATTTATACAAAGGCTTTTTATACTATTAAAAAACTTAAGAAACATCTGTAGGGGCGTGTCTGGTTTATGGTTTGCCACTTATCAAATGTCATTTGTTTCCAACATCCCAGCTGCCAGGGATCTACAAACCACGCTCACTGACCCAGCCTATCGATGTGTTTAAGATGCCTCACTGCTCACTTTCTCCTGAAAACAGGCCGTCTGGGGCAGGTTCACTGTACAGACTAGGACAGTGAGGCCCAGAGAGATTACTAAGCCTTGGCCCCTCTTCAGGGCAGCCAGAGACCCGGCAAACATCAGCTTCAACCCCAGGATTCCAGGCAGGGGCAGCCAGGGCTGGGTCACCGTGGGAGCAGGGACAAGGCTCTCTGGCCCAGGTTCCAGGAAGTACACACCTAAGCTGAGTGTTGAAGGATGAGGGACCAACCAGAAGATGAGCGGAAGGGCTGGTGAGAGTAGGCTGAAACAGGTGTGCCTCTGGGCGCTAAATGATTGGAGTGGCGGGAGGGAGTGTGTTACTCAGGAGGCCTGAGCTGTCCAAACCTTGCACATTCCAAACAAAGGACTGGCCCTTGATGGGCTCCTGGGAGGGAACTCCTAAACCCTTAGAGCAGTGGTTGGCAAACTATGACTCGAGAGCCACATACGGCTCTTTGGCCTCTTGAGTGTGGCTCTCCCACAAAATACGTGTGGGTGCGCACGTACAGTGCGATTGAAACTTCACGGCCCATGTGCAGAAGCCAGTTTCAGCCTAGGCGCGTCAATTTTGAAGAAGTGGTTCTAACACCGAGCCACACTCAAGGGGCCAAAGAGCCGCATGTGGCTTGTGAGCTGCAGTTTGCCGACCACTGCTTTAGAGCAAGCATGCCAAACTCGCGGTCAGTGGGTGGCATGTCTCATTTGGGCTGTAAGCCTCATTCATTTAAACGAGGTATGCAGCCCGCGGCTGCGAGTTTGACATACTTACCGTAGCGTGTCCTGCCAGATACAGGGTGTCTTTAAGATGGGCACTGGACCACACAGTGTCAGTGTGACCTCTGGAGGGGTTGGACACTGAGTGAAAAATGTGACAGACTTTTAATAAATAGCCTGGACAGCAAGGCTTATCGTGTGTGTGTGTGTGAGAGAGATTTTTTTACAGAGAGGAAGGGAGAGGGATAGAGAGCTAGAAACATCAATCAGCTGCCTCTTGCACACCTCCAACTGGGGATGTGCCGGCAACCAAGGTACGTGCCCTTGACCGGAATCGAACCTGGGACCTTTCAGTCTGCAGGCTGACGCTCTATCCTCTGAGCCAAACCAGTCAGGGCCCCTTGGCTAATTTCTATCTCTATCCACTCACTGTAACATGAGCCTAACAGCTTTGCTGAGTTCCGAGTCCTTCTGGTCAATCACCGAACCTGAGGGTGGTCTTGGGGACCCTGACAATGTGCTGTGACACGAGGGGAAGAGCAAATGTAGAAGTTTGCATCAAAATCAAATAAAGGGATGCTGGTCTGCAGGGTGTGTCCCAGTTAACAAAGCCAACCACAACTAGGATTCTGGGAACGTCCCGCCAGGGCAGCTGACACTCACGGTTAGGAGCTGACACAGGCTTCCCACTGACCACAGCGGCGCGCTTTCCTACAAGAGAAGCTGGCGGCGCTCGGGGAAGCAGGAGGAAGAGAAACTGGAGAAGGGGCCTTCCCGAGAGGAGCGAGCGTGCGCGGAGCACGTGCCCAGGCCAGGCAGCGCCGCCCCGGCCGCTGTAGTTCACCCGGGGCGAACCGAGGCCACGAGAAGGGACTTCCTTGAGGTCACTGCCGGAGGTTGGCGGAGCCTGGCCCCTGCTGCCCAAGTTTTCCAAACCAGACCTACCTGCCTTCCCAGCCCAGGGAGTCAGAAAGACCCTCCTGGGATCCCACAACCCCCCTGGCTGAGCACCAGGGTTCTCTGCTGTCACCTCCGGCTCTGCCCAGGCCCCCGCACCTTCTCTATCTTTAGTTCTTTTGTCACTAAACTCCTAACTCTAATATCTACTCAGCCCCACTCTGTACAGCCATAGCACAGAGAGAAAAAGGCCGACCCCCCACGGTGAGATCACAGAGAGTAAAATTCTTTATGGTAGAACATGCATTCATTCAACAACTATTTTGGAGCACCGGCTATGTACAGGCTCGGTGTGGCGCAAGGCCCTGGAAATAAGGCTGTGAACGAGACAGAGGGGCCCCTGTTGTCATGGAGCTTACAGCCCAGCAGACAGAAAAACAATTGTTCAAATAAGTCACCATCATGCTGTGCGGTCTGTGCACGAGAAACAAGAGAAAGCAGAGCATGAAAGGGAACGGGGGCACCGGCACTGGGTGGGGGGATTAACCAGGCAGACTGAGGAAAGAAAATCCGAGGCAGAGAGGAAGGGGAGCCCGACAAAGTCCTCAGATGGGATGGCTGAGGGGCAGGTGTCATTTTCTCGGAGTCCTGGGACTTTCCCTCCCTCCCTATCCCAATCCCTCTCCTTCGGTATCTGGAACGGGTTGGGAACAAAAATGGGAGGGCACCAGCCTTGGACCAAGAGGAAATAAAAGGACTAAGAAGGATACGGGGCCCTGGCCACTGTGGCTCGGTTGGTGAGTGTGGTCCCTGGTTTGGCTCCCGGCCGGGGCACAAGCCCGTATGCAGGGCACCAGGCTAGGAGCACTGGGTAGCAGCACACTCAGCAGGGAACAGGCTCAGAGACAACATGACTTCTCCAAGGTCAAGACCTCAAGTTCTGCCGGGGGCAGGGGAGGAGGGTTGGCAGATTTAAGTCTTTTTGTTATTGTTTTTTTTAATCCTCACCCGAGAATATTTTTTCCATTACTCTCTAGAAGAGAGTGAAAGGAAGGAGAGTGGGGGGGAGACTGAGAAACACCTACAGAATGTGAGAGACAAATCGACTGACTGCTTCCCATATGTACCCCAATGGGGCAACCGAGGTACGTGCCCTTGACTGGGAATCACAGGCTGACACTAACCACTAAGCAACCAGCCAGGGCAGAATGAAGTCTTAGATGGAATGAGAGGGTCTGGGCAGACGGCTGCGGAGGAGCGACACACACAGGCCAGCCTCTGCACGATGGAGGCTGGAGCAGCAGGCTGAGGGAGGGAGGGGCTGCGGCCTGGTCACACAGGCAGTCTGCCTGGCCATCCATCTCCTGGAGACAAAGCCATGATGCGGTTTCCCTTCCCGAGCCCACCGCTGCCCTCCACTGGCTCCCCCTCAGACGCTTGAATGACCGTCCCCCATGAGGCTCATCCACTGGCCCAGGAGCCGCTGCCCGCTGGCTTGATTCCGAGGGCTCCTCGGTGGGGCTCAGGACTATGGCTCCCGATGGGCTGGGCTGGGCCGGGCTGCGGCGGCCTGTCTCGGTCACCAGTAAGCCCTGTGGG